CTAGATTCGTCGTCCCTCCTCAGTAGTTTCAACTCTAACTGCACACAGTACTTTGTAAGGAATAGACTATTTTTTTTGTGTTAAGCAAAATCTACTTGAATTCACCATCCATTAGATGCGATAGATCCTATAATTTTATTGTTGTAAATATTTCTGATCTAGATATTTTTTCTACATCTTTCCTGAGCTTCAAGAAGAAAGAAATTATGTTCGGAATTCATCTTTATTTTTTTGTCGTTATTTTTGGTCTTTCTCTTTTCATAAAATTCTCCTATTAATAAATACATTCTTTTTCATTAATTGGTGCTTTTAGTAATTCAGTATCATCAACATCATGTATAAAAAATATACTCAGACTTTTTCCCTAAATACATGAATCTGACTTAATACTATATCATTCAGTTTTTTTTCACAATCATTTTGTACTATGTAACTTTTAGAAATGAGAGGTATAGAGTCCTTATGAAAGCTTACATTTCTTTTTCATTTTCGAAATTTTCCAACTTTCACTACTTATTTTTTATATTATTCTAATTTGTGGTACTCTGTAACTGGATGGGTGAAACTATCTGTTGAGTAGCCTATTCATATAAATAATTAAATTGATAAATGAGACCGCAACGTTATCGAACTAATGTTTATATTTTGCATACAGAATAGAGCACTAACCTACTAGTTCATAGTAATTTGTTTTACTAGACACGAAAGTAGTATATTGACTGCTGCGGCTGAGGCGGAGGATTCAAAATATGATTGAAGCAAGGGCGTACAATAATTTTATAGAAAAATCTCCAGAATACGTCCCAAACGAACGCCACTACACCATGTATATTATCAAATTGTATGTAGATTCGATTCACTAACTTAAAATAGATCTACTTACATAATGATTCAAACTTTATTATTTCTGGTGTTTCGGATTGAAGTTTATTATCATTTCGTGCATATTTCAACAGTAGAAAGAAGCAAAAATCGTGCAAATAGTATATAAACTATCATGCGAGTTGTGTTCGATTAAAATTTGAGACATCAGCTTGAAATTATATTTTGAACTTAATCTTAAGTTTGGATTGTACTCAAATTCGATTAGAGCGATTTGAACAACTTACCTAATGTCCTGTATTTGTAGATAATTCCAGTCGTGTCTAGCGTTCTATAGATCTGCCTCAGTTTTAGGAAAAATCTAGGTATATCTTTTATGAAAACTGAGAAATATATCCTCGATAAAGTATAAATATCTGAAATCTGAAAAATGAGCTCTAGCGATACGGACAATAAAACACAGATCAAGAGTGGAATTCAAAAATGCTGTGAAATATATTAATATGGTGTTCTATCCTTCAACGTCTCTTTATGTATATTTTCTCCAAATATTCAAAGATCTGAAGATATTTTTTTAAATCTTTTACGAAAGGGAATCCCTATAATAATATTACCTGTATATGGATACTGCAACTTCAACTGAACGGAGACAATAGCATCGCTTCCTGTTCAGTTGATAAGTATACATAGAATATGGTATTCACTACTAAAATCTGAAAATGAAAATGGTTTGTCAACTTCGCCAATTGTTTCTGAGAAGTGTCAAGAAGAATACCTGAATATGCGAGACAAATATATTCCATTTTTATATTGAAAACGGGAGGAGATTCGTTCCCGAAACATGCATCAAAGATAAGTGATGATCTGATATTTTTTATATACCAATATATATATCTCTTCTCCTAACCTTTTTCAATACAAATTTTCACTAACAACCGAATGCTTTCTAATAGGAACATTTTTGAACGCAGTGACATTTTGGAGCAAACCATCTGATTTGTCCTCACAACACGTTTATTGACATAATACTCATATTTTTATTTCAATAATGAATATACCACCTCCTCCTATAGAAAGTATATTTAATTAAAAATAGAAATCATTGCCTTATTGAATATCTGATAATTCATGGATGGACGAGATCTCTATCCAAAATGACACCTATATCTTCAATTCAATTGACATGTTGTTGCACGACGAGATACCGCGCAACAGAAAGAGAGCGACAGAGAGCGAGAACCGGCGCCTCCGCCAAACTATCGGCGATCGCACTTCAGAGTGTTGTGCTAGGTCGTGCGACGCGTCTCGAGCTGCATTTCCGCGTGTGGCGGTCCCGCCAAAAAGCGCTGTTCAATTTCGTCTTTCGTCTGAAGGGTGCGTTGTCGAGTCGAAGAAAAGCGGAATGCAAGATTTCGAGAAAATTAATTTCATTCAACAGGTGCGGTTCATCGGTCCAAGCTTTGGTCATATCCTGAAATCGCAAAAAACAAATCTTTTTTTCTCCAAATGACATTAGAAGTGGATTTTTTATGACACTTAACAGGCAGAAAAGGTGTACTTTCACTGCCTAGGCAGAAAAAGTAATTTGAATTGAATTGGTAATCAAAATTGACAACGACAAACATGATGGATTATCTGGACTTTGCGTGATATTGAAAAGAATTTGGAGAAAAAAATATATGTTCCACATGGCAGAAAAGAAGATATAATGCCTTGGCTGGTTTCCTAGCCTCGGCAACGCCTAGGCTATGAAACGCCGGCCGCGGCATTAAAACTTGTACTTTTCTGCCTAGTAAAACAAATAACAATTTAAATGTGACATTTTCCAACATTTGACTGACCACTTTTGTACAATTTTCTCACCGCTGCGAGTTTTTTCCAAAACATTTCCGAACATAATTCATGCTCTGGGGAGAAAATAATAATATCAGCGCATATATTTTTATACAGGGTGTTTCGAGATCAGTATCAAGTATCAAGATTTCAGAGGCTTAAGTTTGAGATCAAAATAAGCATTTTTTCTTCATGAACATGCTTTTCTCTTTATTTCTTTATAGCTCTTTTACTTTTAGAGGTATTCAGATCAAGTTTGATACACATATTATACGTTATAAGGTTCACGTCATGCAATATGCCAAGTGAGTGTAAGAATCTACAGGGAGATAGTTTTTTCAGGGGTCTAGCACTTTTCCGCTCCATAAACTGTTGTGGTGTGCCACTGGTAGATTTCTTAACAAGAAATGGGTTCTTTGCTATGTTTGTAAACTTTTTTGTCTCTTGTAATCTGTACGCATCTATGATCGTAATCGAGAAAAAACATATTTTAGAATTTGCTAGATTCAATTGGAATTTTTAAAAAAAGGGTGTGACATATTATCTCAATTAAAACAAATCAGTTATATTTCCAAGTGAATAATAAACCTAACAAACCTTAACTTTTCACAAAATATTCTGGAAAATGGAAAAATCTTGAGAATTTATATCGAATCAATTTGCTATTCAATGGAATCAAGATTGCAGTATTAATTCATGATTTATGAAGAAACAGCTTAATGGAAAACTTGATAAGAAGTTGTTCCTAATCAAAATGTCGACAAATACAGGGTGTCCTATTTAGTCCAGCACTGGCCATTTTTTGTGCACTTGCCTGTATGTGATGATTTCACAAAATAATATTGAAATTTATTGAAGAAATAAGGAAGATAGGAATTGATACAAAAATGGAGAATACAAGTGCCACAGTTGGGAGACAAAGTAGCTCCAAGATATGAATAAGTGCGAAAATTAACTGCGAAACAAATCAGTTGGTTTCAAACGAGAAAAAAATCGAAAAACAAGATTATTTGCCCTTCTATTGGAGACCTGCAGAACATATCTTTCCAAAGACTCGTTCATCCAACGAACAGCGAGGCTCTGGAACACATTGCCAAGGGACGTGTTCCCCGAGGCATATAACCTCCAGAAATTTAAGAGAAACACGAATTCCAACCTTATTTACCTTCGTTCTCACGATGTTTTCTGAACATTACAGGATATCCCTTTTCGTGGGAACCAGAAAAAAATGCTAAGCTTTTTTCTCCATGGCAAACCTATTACCAAACTATTCACTTTTCAATCAACGGTTTTTTCCATTTTCTTGTATATAGTCGATCAAGACAAAGATGAAGAATTGCCCCTCACTCAGAGGTATGTTTGCTGATATCTGAGAAACTATATTTTTTATTATGTAGGTAGCTATTATTGCTTTTTTTTCAATTCGTCATTCCCAATATAAATAGGACATAGATATATACTTACATGTCAAATGGAAAGATGAAATGCTTCAGCAATTTTGAATCACGAAAAGAGAAAACATGGAATAAAATCATCAGGAAGTAATTTACACACTCCTCTCCTAAATGGATCAAAACATCTACTATCCTCATTTATTAGTGTAGATGATATTGAATACATGAATGTATGAACATTTTTCATTTTTTTTGTCATTTCTATAGAGTAGTTTTCAATTCACAAACTCATAATGAAGGAAATCAATCATGAGATTGAGAGTGGAAAAAATCATTATAACAAACAATGCTCACTTTTCAACACTCTTTTATTTATTATTTGAATCGATCGAAGTTTATTCAGATTGATCAGAGGCCTGTGTGGTGTGTTTGTATATACAATTATTCTTAAATTTCAACACTGCATAAAAGTTTGAATAACTTTTGTGACTGTATTAAAGATCTGATTCAATTTCTCATAGTAACTGCATAATTTATGCAAGTATACGTATCGCTAATTGGCATTTTGTTTATTCACATATATTATCAATTAGTCTAAAATTAGTTCATCGAATAGACGCCTAATTCAAAACAAATTGCGCCTCAACAAGAATTGTGATATATTTTTCGCTGACCTATGTCAAAATATGCGTCACAAATAATTGCAATTTCAACCTTAGTGCATTTAAAATTAGCAACTGCATTTCCGATAAGCAATAGCTAAACCTGAAAACGTCGTTTGATAATGAAAACCTCTATCGATTCACCTATTTTTAGCTGTCAAACGTTTCCACTTCAAGGAAAACCAGAATGCATCGAGATTTTGCATCCTAAACTTGCATCTACAGTGAAAATTGTGCATTTTTCTCATTGGTGACAGTAGCCAGTGTACTGATTTAACGTTTTTTTCTGATGTTCCCGACGCTATCAAAAGTGAAAATTCAAAATGGCGGCCAGTCTCGTTTCAATCCGAAGGCGCAGTCACTATACGCCCTGGTAACAACCGAATTTTTCATAATTTTACAACAGAAAGGTAAAGTAGAACTAGATAATTCCTTTGTTCACCCATAGCTTTGCAATGTCACTCTAGTTTTCACAATATCCTCTATGTCGGACCTTTGAACTTCGACCTTCAAAAGCATGAGGTTTGTCCAACAGTTTTTGCCTTACCAATCAACAATTATGCTTAGTTTTGCATTAATAACGATCAAAATGGTTTACATCAAACTGCATACGTTAGGATTTTTGCATGACAATTTGTTTTTCGACCGGTGTTTTTGGAAAGGGAATTCAAGTTCAAGGCAAGGACAAAATGTCTAACAACGTGTTTATTATTAGACATTTGTTTATTTATATCGATATCGTGAGTGAATTAGGAATTTTCCACTAAGAATTTGTTAGGTTAGGTTCGGTTTCGGGTTCGCTTTCTTTGGACCAAGAAAAAAATGCCAATTTTGGTGGAATATTCAGTGCATAAGGTCAACTCTGTTTGGGTGTGTTGTGAACCAAGTGAGATAATGATTCTCCATTACGTGCCATTTTTTTAACATCTTAGCATTCTTCATGTGAAAATCTGTTATTGTTGTGAAGATCCTAGTACCTATCAGAAAAAATACTTATGTTTAATATAGTCCTAGAAGAGTGTCTTACTAATACCAATCTTTTGTTTGCCGTCCTTGAATATATTGAAACCTTCAATTCTGTCCATGGCTACCTCGGTTACAGAAAAAGTAGTGCTATTTTCAAGTCTCTTCTTTGTGTATATTTTTCAGGATAAAGTTACAGCAAACTCAATGAAACAATAATTTTCTTGTTGTTGATGTTTCATCAGAAAAATATTCAGATTTAAGGAGTATGAAAGACTTCGATACGAAAATGGTATAAAATTTCAAGATCAATCAACAGAAGAACACCCTGACATTTTGGGGCAAGTCATCTGATTTATCCTCACAACAGGTATATTGAAATGATAGTAATATTTTTCATTTTCATAGTGACAGGGAGATAAAATTTCGAAAATCTAGAGAAATGTGGTATAGGTAGATAGTTTTTTTTTATCATAACCAAAGTCTACACCCACTTCAATACCTAGAAGTAGTAAAATATTGAATTCAAAACATAAGAAGATATTATTTTTATATGATTGAATGCATCCATCAATAATTTATTTTTCTTCCATATTAGATTTTTTATGATTCAACTGTTCCCGAATCAATTAGAAATTTTGTTTTCGAAAATACTGTGAACTCATCAAAAACACAGAAATAGAGGGAACCTATCCAGGTTTATTCAAGATTCTGGAAAAAATCACGATACCTATACTATAGAATTATTTCCTGTAGTTGTCACGGATGTCATCTCCTCTTTGAGGTATGGCAAAAAATATACTCAATAGATTTTTTCACTCTCCCATCTCAAAGAGAAACCGCTAGTTGGTTTTATCAAACAATGTAACATCTGAAGTCAAGACCTGAATTTTTCAAAATAATATGAAAATAACTACTATGTAGTCTTGAAAATTGCATACCCTCAAGGATATCAATTATGAGTTGTATAACTCTATATAGATTCAATGTATCTGTTATATCTGATAGGAGAAAATAGTTTCGTTTTTGAGAGTCATTCACATGAGGGAATGCTAGTTTCATGATAAGCAGTAATTTTCATTTTTTTTTGGAAAAATTCAGTTCTCTTATTCAAATTTCACCTTTCCTGTTGTTACCAGTCCTAAAACAAAAATGAAAACACTCCTGCCCAGGAACTGTTGATCCTCATGGAAATTATATTCAACAGGGAAAAAAAACAGACTTACAGGGGATTTTTCTTCCTTCTTGAAACATAATATCCACTATCTGGGAAGATCCACTATCTGGGAAGATCTACAGAGATCTACAGAGAGCAACAAAAAGTGTATAAATTTCCTCACCATTGGAAAGACTACTCGATCTGTATTTGTTGATTGAAGAAGGAAAAAAAATCCTTGTAAGACATTTTTCCTTTTCGTTCCGACTATCAAGAATAAAAGAGTATTTCAGGGTCTGGTACATGTTTATGGAATATTAATATGTATATGATTCAGTATGATGATTCGATAACATTTTGGATATTATGTGTTTTCAAATTGAAAATCAAACTTGTATTACCGTGGAAATTTCAGTGAAGGCTGTAAAGAAGTATTCTCCTTTAGTTCTAGGTCCTAGGTGTTACTTTGATAATTTGAAAAATAAGGGATAACTATGAGTGTGCCGATGATGTCGCAGACATACGGTATATATTTTTGAAATCAGCAAAAATCTCTTTCAAAATATGCAAAGAAATATGGGGGATGTTCCTTTTGCAATATTTGGAGGGGGGGCACCATTCGAAAGAGAACAACATCTCAAGATTGTATTTCGAAGTTTACAATATCTTATTTAGTTTTCGAGATGTTGAGTGTTGAATCAAGCGTGAAATCCATATTCAATCACCATCTACATTAAGTATGATAATAACATTTATTACCGTGAAAAATATTAGTGGCTGTCAAGACGTATTCTGCTTTAGTTTTAGGTCCCACAGGTATTATAGAAAGAAACAACTGAAAAAAACATAATTACATACCGATCAGATTGAATTTTGTCATCATGGGCATGTACAGGGTGGGTCGGGAGGAACGCACCAAATTCCAGGTGTGTATTGTACACGTGAAAATAATTTGACAAAACCCACATGTTCTGATACGATTCTCATTTGTTTCCATTTCGAATTTGAATAGATTTGCGGCATTTTATAAAACTTTTTAATTGTACAAACTCGATTGTTTGATCTGTTTTGTTGTTCTGACATGTGTTCGTTATTAAATGCCACACATCTATTCAAATTTAGAATGGAATCAAATGAAAATCGTATCAGAACATATGGGTTTTTTAAAATTATTTATACCTGTACAATACACATCTCAAGTTTGGTGCGTTCGTCCAGACTCACCCAGTATAGAAAAAACAATAAAGAAGCATAATTGCATACCGATCATATTGAATTTTGTCATTTGGGGTATATGCAGCGGTTTTCTTTGATAATTAGAAAAATAAGGGATTACGGATGAATATGAGTGTGCCATTGATCACGCTGACACACGGTATACAAGCTATCGAATAAAAGTTCTTGACATTGAAATTCTTGACGATCGTTCGCATGGTCTCACAGTGTGCCAAACTGTTGCAAGGTTTCATGAAAAAAGATAAGAAATAGGAAATGCAGTCGTCAAATAGAGATGAAACAGAACGTCTACGTCATTTTCATATTGCAATATGCACTTCAGCCTCGCTAATATTAGGTTAGGTATATCAGTTGTCGAATAACAACTTGTGCTTTGGTTGTGAGCAAAATAATAATTGATATGGTTACCAGGGGAGTCGAGTTTAGGGCCAGTCAAAATAGTCCAGGATGACTTAGAGGTATTTATAAGTAGAAAATGCGCGAAATGGAATGTCTATTAATAAATAGATAACAAAAAATGCATACACATGCACAAAAATTGCAATTGATTTCATGAATCTCAAGGTCACCATCACAAAACAGACTATTAATATTTTTGTTTTCCGACCTACTAGTTGAAAATAAGTGGAGTTGTTTATTGATGTTGCTGATTTCTTTGTTTTTGTTGCAGGACTTAAATGCCTTGAGAAGGAGTCGACATTCTCTAGACGGGAAAAAATGAGAGAGGTAAGAGTCTTAAATGTTCTGTGAAGTTCAACAATATGTAGGTATATATAATAAATACACACTTCGAAAAATTCATTCATGCATTAGGTGAAACTTAAGACAAAAATATACTTCCTGTCATGCAATGTAAAGTCTCAAATCTCAAAGATCAGTTGAAAACCTTTTGAAACTCTGTTACTAGATCTCATTAAAGGAAAAATAGCTATCAGAAACAAGACACACTCTAAGTCATCTCCACAAATTTACTAGTTACATCTTTATAAAGCCCCCTTTGGGCTTTGTCTTTCCTTCATTAAAAATATATATATATATATATAATTAACAAATTGTAATATTGCGGTTGCCTTTTTTCACTTCCACGTTTAGATAACTTTGGTCAATTTCTAGTCATATAAAAAACATCTTCCTCCATTGAATTTCCTTTGATAATGCTGCTGATGATGGCCTATTGATAATCTGAAAAATGTCCAGATGTTCCTGATGTTACTGATAAATTTGTGGATTGTGTTCAGTTACTACTTCTGAAACTCCTTTGACTGAATATGTAAAATAGAAAATGTATAGTTTCAGAAGTTCGTGTGTACTATTGAAGATTATTACTGAAGATTTGATCTAGATCTTCTTGTGAAAAATTCTCGATTCCCAAAAAAATGCATAAAGCAAGAAATCTAAGAACATCTTGTACGTTGAAGTTTCTAGAACATTCTTCTATCCTTATATGATCGTTTATACCCTTTGAAATAATCAATATTCTTCAGAATCCATCTTTATCAGTTAGTATACATGTTTATCTTCTTGTAAGTTTCAGTTTCGAAATTCAAGAGTTATGTTTTTCAGTTCAATGCAAAATATTTATCAACGATAAATCTTCAATGCTGAAAATGATATCATTCTGTGATTCAATGCGAATTGCATGTTGTTGTTTTTTCTGTTTATACTTATCCGAGGTTGGCCTGATATAAGGTCATAGGTAAAACTTTTGACATTTGGTGGGGCTGCAATGGCAACTGCAGACGAAATTTCCACTGGTTTCAATGATCACCTGATGGTGAGGTGGGGAAAAAGTTTTGGAGAGGGAGAGAAAAACCGAAGATTTCGTGCTAACAAACCTTTAAGACTTATGAGAAGGTCAAGGGTGACTAGGTCAATTATTTACCGGTTGATACTGAAAACTATGATAACGAAAAATAGAAGTGGATACAGAGGAAGAGGATGATATCGAAGAAGGCACAAATTAAATCAAATTATAATATTTTCGAAAAATAAAATTGTTTTGAAGACGTTGAATGTCGAAGTTTGTTTGGAACTCTTGATGCAAATCATTGTTCTGAGTTTCAGCCGAACTCTAGTCTTTGCTTTTAACGTAATCAGAATTACCAGAAGTCACATTGACCCTTGTGATGCTGCAGGACGTTCAATAATAGTTGAAGGATGATTAGTGGAGACGTTCCTTTTTTGAAAAATGTTTGTTGTTTCTGTAAAGATTTTTTCTTGCGATTCATTGTGTTATTTTGTCTTATACATACCACCCCATTTTGTGTATCGCTCCAATTTTGTACACTCCCAATATAATTGAAAAATTGATGAACCATTCGTCATGTTAACCTCTGATTTTCAAGCTATGGCCCTTAAAATTGAATTCCATAGAGGCACTGACTATTTTTTGAAAGTTGAAAATTGCAAAATCTGGAGATTTTAGTTAGGGGAGTGTCAAACAGTGTGGCGGTAAATGAATAATATTGAACCAACTATTTTTCATCTTTTTATTTCACTCTAGAATATTAATATCTTGACTTTCATTGATATTCTCGAGATTTCAAATGGGTAGAATTGCTACTTATTGTCGAAATCAAAATGAAAATACCTACGTTACTTCAAAAATCAAAAAATAGTAATGTTGATAAATGTGAAGAATAGCACTCATTGATCCACCCTGCATGACTTTCTAAGCCCATTTAACAATGAAAATTCTATGTAGATAAAAAATATATCCATCCATTCATGAGGTAGATGCTTGGAATGTACAGGGAGATTCACCATGAATGTTTCCCCACTCTAGCTCACCGATTCTTGAACCAATTTTAAAATTCGAGAAATCATCAGGAATTATTTTTCAGAAATGTTTTATCTGCTACATCAGAAAATACAGGGTGCTCCGAACAAACGATATACAGCGTACTAGTTGATTTTACAAATGGGACACCCTGTATTTTATTGCATTTTTAGATTGTCCTTGAAAAGCTGATTTCATTGATGTGCCACACTTGATGTATAGCGGGAATGATTACAGAGATATAGGGTGTCCAAAATTAAGGTTTTTCAATTTTAGGATTTTTTTTGTGTCTAAACTATCCATTATTGGTCGAAAAGACTCCTTTCTTTTGATTTACTAACTACTGACATTCAATTGGAACAATACAGGGTGGTTCAAGATTCAGAATTCTGATCACCTTGTATCTGTTCCGATTATTAAATGTCAGTAGATAGTAAATCTAAATCTCGATTTTGAACACCCTATATCTCTGTAATCATTCCCGTGTGATACATTGATGAAATCAGCTCTTCACGGACAATCTGAAAATGCGGAGGGTGTTTTATTTTAAGAAAATCAACTAGTACCATGTAGATCTTTTTTTAAGAACACCCTTTATCTGTCCTACCTTCCTGTGAATTGAATAATGCCGCATACATGATTTTCACAGTCCTCCATGTTTTTGAGATATATAGGGCAAAGTTGAAAATTCTCAAAAATAGAGCAAAAAAAAAATCCAACTATAATATATTTTTGATGAGCTAGAAGAAATCTGGTTCGAACCTGATAGAAATATACAGGGTGTCTTATTTGAAAACAGATATGTTGGCTTCATTTTCTGATAATAAGCGATATGAGAAATAGAATTATATCATTGTACTATAATATAACATAGTTAAATAAAGCCGCGTTCTCATCCTGCCGTATCAAAGTAACCAAAATACGTGAGTTGCCTTAAAAGGAAGCATTTTCAACTCCGCCCTGTATCTCAAAAACATGAAGGACTGTGAAAATTCTGTTTGCGGCAATATTCGTTTCACTAAAAGGTAAGACCAAACCGTGAAAGCCGCAACACTCTATCTCCAAAGATAACTGAAATATCTTGCAAAAGCATCGTAAACTGGACACACTGTACACTTTCCCCAAATCCGTCATCCAACCCGTACATAGAACAAAAAAAACCTCCACGACTGTAAGCGCCGCCCCCGAAAACCCTAGGCGTGACCCCATTGGCCCGCCCGCTGCATCCGTCCCGCTGCAAGCCGAGACGTCACACGACGCTAATGACGTCGCCGTTAAAGGCAAAGGCGTCGCGACGACGGAGCCGGATCGATAATGGCTGTACACACTGACCCATATCGTCCTTTCACTTAACGATCTCAAATCAGGATGAAAATAAAAGGCTTGATGAGAAAGGGAGGGAGGGGGGAGAATTGTTCGTCTACATGTGAGATGGGGTACCTAGATATTGGTTTATAGTCCCGATATCGTCATAATTTCGATTTTATTATTGATTATATTGACTTCGGAAGTTGATTCGTTCATATGACCAACTCATAGCCTCCACTATACTCACACCTCTGCCTCAAATAGCCTTCAACAACTTACCTCTCGTCGTTTTTCAGATCTGTAGTAACATCCTTACTCACTTCGTTCACACATCGTTCATCACATAGTTCCTCTTATCGTTCATCACATCGTTCCTCACTTATTCGTTCCTCTCTTTTTGTTCCTCACTCCATTCTCGACAGCGTTCTTCATTTCGTTCTTCACATTGCTCCTCATTTACTACTTCACAACATTCATTGCATTGTCCCTCATATTGTTACCCACATCGATCTTCACATCATTCACCACTATGTTTTCCACTTCATTTTCATATCGTTCACATTCTTCTCACTTATTTGTTTTTCTCTTTGTTCATCACGACTGCGTTCTTCATTTCGTTCCTCACATCATTCTCCAGATCGTTCCTCACATCCTTCTTCACATCGTTCCTCGAATCGTTCCTCATTTAGTTCTTTACATCACATTGTTCATCACATTGTTCATTGCTTTGTTCCTCACTTCGTTCCTCACTTCGTTCCTCATTTCGTTCATCATTTCGTTCATCATTTCGCTCCTCATTCCGTTCCTCATTCCGTTCCTCATTTCGTTCCTCACGTTCTCCCCTTTGGCCCCTACATCGTTCATCAAATCGTTCCTCATTTAGATTCTCACATAATTCATCACATTTCGTTGTTCACATCATTCCTCACGTCCCTCACATTGTTCTCCACATCATTACTCGAATCGTTCCTCATTCAGTTTCCAACATCAATAATCACATTATTCTTCACATTGTTCATCACATTGTTAATGACATCGTTCATCACATCGTTTATCTCTCCGTTTCTCAATTGGTTCCTCATTTCATTTCTCACATCAATCCCCACGTCCTTCACTTTGTTTCTCGCATCTTTCCTCACATCGTTACAATTTAGTACCTCACTTCGCTCCTCACATATTACTTCACGACGTTGCTCACGAAGTTCCTTTTATATTTCCGTATATGTTTCCTCACATTGTTCTCACTTTCTTCCTCTAGGATCTTTTTCTCGACCTGTCATTTATAATTCGTTTTCAAATCCTTGTTAATTTATTTTTCCTATCGGAAATATCGGCAAAATCATTCAATTTGTCTTTTTCTCGATTTTGTTGAGTTTTCTTAATCCGGAGCATTCATTTTACTCTGTGAAATATGTGTGATTCTATGTCATGACCTTAATGGATTTAATTAATGATTAATTGGTACCTATGCATCGAGAATATCAATTCGAATACTGATTAGTTACTTTAATTAATTGTAGTGTCTGCTTTTAACTCTTATTTCCTCAAACTTGCACAAAATTCGTCACAAAATTATTCAAATCAATGAACCATTATATTTTCTTCTATTGAATCAGATTGAATCATAAACAAATACCATGACCATCATCATAGGTTTCCCAAGATGGTTGATTCATTCAGAAGTATTTTCAACGTAGTATGCTCATCTAGAGAACTTTTTTTTTTCAGGAAATGATGGACGAAACTTCAGTTTCTTCAGCTGGAGAATTCGACCTCACGAATATACGTGAGGAAGAATTCGAGCTGCACACTACCTACATAGTTCCGGATCTCCCTGTGGATCCAGGAACTCCCAATAGAGCTGAAGCCACCCTTCCTCGGAATTTAGTACTCAAGTCTTCCCAAGTGCTACTGAATGTAAGTAGTTTTCAAGTTTTCCATCTTCGCGAAATCACACGATTCAATCAGGTTTTGTATGGTGGTGCATAATATATTTGTTTACAGACTCAAGGTGTTTGGAGTACTGGATACATCCCTCGAGGTACGAGATTCGGACCTCTAGTTGGTGAAATATATGCCAAAGATGCTATTCCTAACACTGCTAATAGAAATTACTTTTGGAGGGTAAGTTTCAATATACGTATACCAACGCTCATATTTTATTTTCTCTCGTGGCTACGATTTCTCTTATTCTTGCTCAACTCTGGTGGATGGCTTCTAATCCCTTATTTCTCCTTTGGTGCAGGTTCAACTCAGAGAAGGATTTTATAAGACTAGGTCCATTGATAACAAGGTGACTATTGTTCTTGACAACTTTTCTGCTTCCTAACTTTCTCCATTATATTTATTAGACAAATATAAAATAAGTACAACATATCATTATTGATGTATCAATTTACTCTCCAGATATATAAGGATAACGAACTATACTACTACATAGACGGTTTCGATACTTCCAAGGCCAACTGGATGAGATACGTGAGCCCCGCATACTCCACAGAATCTCAGAACCTGATCGCCTGCCAATACAAAATGAACATATACTTTTATACCATCAAACCCATCCTACCCAATCAGGAGCTCTTGGTATGGTACTGTAAAGAGTTTGCGGAAAGACTGAACTACCCATTGACAGGAGAGCAAATGCTTCAGAGAATAAGTAAGTAATAAATGAAGGTGTTCAAGCTCGAAAGGACCTCCTACAAATGATTTTGTTTCAGGGCAAGTACAACAAACTTCTGAAGTGATAACTGTGAGTACATCAGAGCCTCCACCAAAGGAGCCACCTTACGAGCACCAGCTGACACCTACAGAGGGAAGCGTGAGGTCTGACGAAGGGTACCACAGCAATGAGTACCACGACGATGCTTTCACTCCCCCTGAAGACTCTAGCGATTCGGACAGTGAAAACAACTATGTCTTGGACTTCAGCAAGAAGACCACTAAAGAAACTGCTGTTATAAAGCCGGTATCTCCTGAGACGCAGAAGAACGAGTACCGAAAAGTGAAGATAAAGATCACCAAGGCTTACCACTACAAAGCCAAGGCTGAGAGTGACCACGAAGGTGACAAAGACTCGAAAATGGACGCTGCTGTACCTGAAGTACCCACACTAGCCACTCGGATAGTGTCTCCCCCCACTACAGTGATCGTGATGGATTCACCACCCCATGAAGTTCCTAATAATAAGCCCTTTTACGAACCCGAAGTCAAAACTACAAACGTAATATCTAGATACTCCCCACCTTCTTCAAGCATCTTGGAGAATATTCTGCTTAGAAACAGAATCGATACGAATAATAATAATAACGATAGTAACCACAGGCAAAGCAATGCGGCGACCCCACCGCCTAGCTCGCCAACAGAGATGGCCTACTCATACAAAAAGAGCCATCGGTATGGAGCTGTACCATGCAGTCCTGATTCCAGCTCCAACATCCAAGTCAACTTGCTGCCCCCAAGTCCAGCTACATTGAAAACACAGAGCCCAGTACAAATGAACGTCTACGCAACACATCCCACTGAACCCTATCACAATAACAACATACAGCCTACGAATTACTACACCATATACCCCTCCCCAAACGGCTTAGTACACAGTACCATAGCCTCCTCACCTACCCACACTTATTCCCCGCCCCTCAACACAAACTTCAGCAATAATCATCACAATAACGTTACGAATCTGATAGTCCCGACCAGTCACATCATCAACAACAACTTATCGCATCACCTACTGACTCCTCTTCCTCCTCTCCAAATCAACACGGGCAGACTGTCTCCCTGCTCCAAAAGCCCAGACAGATATGACAACATGTGCTCCAGCAGCCCCACTAGCCCCAACGGTGGGCCTTCCAGAGGCTACAGGAGCCTACCTTACCCACTGAAGAAGAAGGACGGCAAGATGCACTACGAGTGCAACGTCTGCTGCAAAACCTTCGGCCAGCTGTCGAACCTGAAGGTCCATCTGAGGACGCACAGTGGAGAGAGACCCTTCAAGTGCAATGTCTGCACCAAATCCTTCACTCAGCTCGCCCATCTCCAGAAGCACCATTTGGTGCACACTGGGGAACGGCCTCATGAGTGCAGCATCTGCAAGAAGAGGTTCTCTTCTACGTCAAACTTGAAGACCCATCTCAGGCTGCACAGTGGCCAGAAACCTTACGCCTGCGACTTTTGTCCTGCCAAGTTCACGCAGTTCGTGCACCTGAAGCTGCACAAGAGGCTGCATACGAACGAGAGGCCCTACATTTGTCAAGAGTGCGGGAAGAACTATATCAGCGCTTCCGGGCTGAGGACGCATTGGAAGACCACGAGCTGTAGGCCCAACAACATTGATGAGGAGCTCAATGGGGAAGCGTCCCCTAACTGCTACTATGAATATGCCGGATCCGATGGTAGTCTTGGTGAGTACCTGAGGCCCTCGAGTGAACCTCAATACAGGGTGTGAATTATGAAGCGCGAAAAAAATTGAGGGTTGATTTCTCATCTTAGTTTAAGAAGAGAGGTCATTCAAACAAACTTGATTCGTTTTTGAGCTAGAGGATGTTGGAGGTGGAAGCTTTTATAGTGGCAATATTCAGTGGTTATGTACAGAGTATCGAAATTTCAGAATAATACTTATCATACAGGGTGTTCCTTAAAGAAACGCTAATATTCAAGGGGTGATTCTTCAACGCATTTCAAGAAAAAAAGTTTCCACCAACGTATGTCCTAAAAGTTTTAACTTTTGAGATACAGTGTGATAAAGTTTTGAAAAAAAAAACAGTTTTTTTATAATAACTGGAATAATATTGTAGTCATCTTTGTGAAATTTGGTACATATCTTCTATGCATCAAGGTGCATTTTTTGGTGTATACCAATTTTCCTCTTCTCTACCAGTGGCGCTGTGTGGGGGTTATGATTGATTATATTATACTTGAAAGTGAGCAACGAAGGAATATTTCCAAATTCAATTAAATGCTATAAAAGTTCATTCAATTTTGTATATAAAAGATCCACTTTTTGGTACCCGACAGGACGCTCCGTTTTCTAGAAAAAATTAAAAAACGAGATCAAACTTCAAATTTTGATGTAAATGCTAAGCTTGAGTACTCCATTCAGGAAAGCTATTACTGGATAACCACAGATGATGTAAAATTTTGAAATGTTTGCACCGTTTCAGTCACATAGCAGAATACATTTTGCCATCAGGACAAGCTATACAGGGTGGACAAAAAAAATAATCTATGTATATGTTCAACTTTGATACCCTGTATCTCAAAAGTTAGGATGTTTGCAACATCTGCTCATATGACGTTTTATTTTTGAAATGGGTCCAAGAATCGCCCCCTTCAATATCACCATGTCATTAGGGAACACCCTGTATTGAGGTTATTGACTAATTTCAATGGAATTCTTGAGAGCATCTACATTGAAATTTGGAATCATTTGAATTTCTGCTGTCTCCTTCAAATGAGAATATGAAACTGAGAAAAACCAGTGGCGTACAATAATATTGGCCATATATCGATGAGGTAATTCAACGCGATGCCACTGGAATTATCATTCTGAATCTAATTACACCGAAGAAGATGCATGTTGCTGTTCACAAAACCACCAAGTTAATTGAAATTGTCAAGAAGAATTTTGAGTTATTAATAAAAACGATATTTTTATGAAAATATCGATAACCTACCTCAGAAACGGAGCAAGCTAGGATAAATATTTCGAAGATGTTTCCATGAGAACAAAAAATTTTTGGCAAAAAGTTAGCCACTTTTCAAAAGTACACATTGGGGAAAACTACCTTAAAAGTTTGAAACCAAGATAGTTATCGATATGCTGTTTTCACCATCGAGTTTGTCATGATAATTGACTCTGAGGCATCAACATTAGTTTTCTTTTATGTAGATCGGAAATGCAACTTTCATTTCAAAAGTTTACAATTTTGCTTTCTTGATCTTTGTAATTGTTGAGAAAATTCATTTGTCTGTTGGAATAACAAAATACAGGTTGTAATTTGATTGATGGCTAAGAATATGGGATATGGTTCTTCGGCTCATTTTGAGAAAAAAAGATCATATAATGATAGAGAGAATAACTACTTTTTTCCTGGCTATATGCCACACAAAACATCGAATTACATCGTCCCGAAATCTATGCAATAATTCGTATAGACGTTGGGTCAGGTTCGCACCAGATAGCGGTCAAGAATGCTGTCTGTGACAGCCCTGCACTGATGAGAGTCAAGTAGTTATCAAAAGCGTATTTTTCGCCCTTGATACATAAACAAATATTATGTATCAAGGGCGTAAAGTAGGCATTTATGAACCCAAGTATGTAAGTAGCAATTGACACGCCTAGGTCCATGAAAGTAATATGCGCCCGAAATACATACGTTCTGAGCAGGATAGTTTTAGACATTTATTCAGTGTCAATATGGAATGTATTGCTGATTTTGAATTCATTTGGCTAAATCATGTATGCCACTGGCGAAGAAAAATCGAAATATAGTCTTCTAGAAATTACTGGAAAAAAGTGGAATTATTTCACCGCCCGATCACTTACTTTACCGTTCGCCGTACTCCTTCATTGCCCTAGGGCGCTAATCTGCTACTGTATAGTGCCACTTCACGCCTAGTCGTGCATAAAAAAATTACGTGGTTCGTTTCAGGTTCTGTTGATCTGAAAGAAGGCCACGAGGATCCGAAAGAATCGTTCGAAATGCACCACCCACCCCAGCTGAGCCACCCTGTGTTGCACCCCGGTCTCTCCAGGCCGCTTCCTTCGCTGATCCAAAATGGCGCCCTACAGCGGCCATTGCATCCTGGCAAGGAGACGAGGCCGAGCGTCATAGAGTCGTCTCAGCCTCACATCATTGAATGTACCTAAATGTATTTATTCACTTCACAGGCTGCTGTACGGATCAGAAAATAGTCTAGGAGCCTGCTGCCAGTTGCGACCGTCATCTGATAATGAAATTACATCATCATGACCGAAATGCATGTAAATACTTTGTATCTTATCGAACGCCATCTGTGTCAATCACTTTACTGAGCAAAATGATTGAAACATTGTACTGAATTCCGCGATTTGATTTGATTAGGTATACCTTCCGATATCAATTGAATGGTTGATCTCAAAACCCTACCTCTGTGCCACCCTTCAAGTTGAGTCAAATCCTCAGCACATAGATTTGTTTGCTATCAGTATTTATATCACTTGTTAACAAGTTGCAACAAAATGGAAATATAAGTATAATGTCTATTCAAACGTGCCGCGATTCAAACTGAAATGAGGTAGTAGGTTTTTCCACTCATTTCAAAATAAATGATTGTGATTGGTTGAAATAATTCTGTTGATGATCGAAAACATTATGTTTTCCATTTTGTATTTTGACACTGGATACTAATGTGCTGTGTTGTCGATTTTGTATTTTGCTTCATCATTGGTAGTTTGATCAAATACAGAGAAGTGCACAAAAAACGGCCAGGATTGTATCTTTTGGATTATTCCAGACAGGGTTTTGAAAATTGGTGGCTAGCAAGTAGACCGAATTGCTCATTAACTGATGGAACAATGTTTCTTCTATCACTTCCAGTTTCACCGCAAACGACCCCAACTTTAGATTTTAAATGGGACACCCTGTATTGTATTCCATAATCTGTTAGGCATTATCATGACGAATTCATCGATACCGGGTTTGAATGGGTTATTCCAAACAATTACAAAGATATTTGCGTTCGAAGTTTCCATGTGCTAAATGGGTGTGACTTCCCAATATTAAAACTTCTTTCTCTGTCACACTCATTGAGCATATGGAAACCTAGAACGCGAATATCTGCGTAATCGTTTGAAATAACCCTATCAAACCCGGTATCGATGAATTTGTCATGACAATTGCTAACCGATTATGGAATATAATTTAAAAATCGAATGTTGTGGTCGTTTCCAGTAAAACCGGAAGCGATGAAACAGAAATTGTTTCGTCAATTGATGAGCACTTTGGTATACTAGCTGCCCACCAATTTTCAAAACCCTATCTCGAATAATTCAGAAGTTACAGTCCCGGTCATTTTTTGTGCACTTCTCTGTATAAAACAATAATAGCTATTTATATATCAAGGGGGCAAAGATATCCATTTCCTTCCACGTGTGAAGTTTGGGAGGAAATGAACCTTTACTGTCTTCAAACATCTGTACAAGATCGCAGCACATATTCCAGCAACTTAACTCAGTCCAAATTGCTCCATGGTACAGGGTGGTAAATTTGAAGAATTAAAATCTTTTGTCTCAAAATTTTTCAACGTATCACTTCAAAAATTGGTAAGTGGAGGGGTTTTTAGAATGCAAAACTCGAATACGGTCACCTTCTCACTGTGGCCATTAGAGGGCGCTTACCAGTGCCCTACTTATGGTTTAGAATGGCAATAACTTTTTAATCAGTGTAGTATTTCACTTTTTCTGTTGAGGAGATGATTTTCTGGATATTTTCAAGTATTAAAGGTAGACTTGTGATAATTCGCGAAAGTGAAAGCCCTTTCGAGTTATTTCGGTTTTCAAGGTTCGATGTCGCACCGGAATATTAAAATTATTTTGAATAAAAAATGTTTGCTGTTATCTTCGTGGATGTGATTAAGTCAGTGAATGAGCAGTGCAAAAATGGATTTTTCAGAATACTTTTTTGGAGTGAAATTGCCGATTTTTGATTTTTAAATTCACCACCCTGTATCTAGGAAACGGAGCAATTTCGGACTGAGGTAAGTTGCCTTAAATCGGCTTATTATGACCTCAGGGACACCCTGTATATAGGATTTTTTTCCAGGAACGCAAATATTTGAGAGCGTGGTTCTTAAAACTGTACTTCAAGCGGTCTATCTCTCGAGTCGCTATTCAAATCAATATGTAACAAAAGTATAGTATGCCATGGACAATTGACAGTATTTGAATCTGTACGAAAATCAATTTGACACTTCTGGCAAATTTTTCACGTTTTTCTTTTTACGTTCAGCTTTTTGCGTTGCATCAAGAATAAACTTTTATCCATGAAATAATGAGTGTAATAATCTCAAGGAAACCACACTCGCGCTATGTGCTTCTGTGGTTTCCAAGCAATATAATTTGTTTCTCAAAATCGATACACTTGTTGTATTACACAAGAATATTTGGCCCTTGGCGAAAGATAATATCTGATGAACTAGATTATCGAACTCATGGTCCATCGGATTTAATCTTTCGATAAAGGCGAAAGATTCTCGGAAATATTAATGCTCTACCATGAACTTGTATCAGGTTGAATCGCAGCACGTTTGTATGTTTGCGAAGGGGGCCCAGCCTCTCCTATTATTTGCATTTTTTCTCAACACGTCATCACGTGACGGAAGTATGTCCTGATGAATGTCAGCAGAAAAAAAATATCTGTACCGAAAAATCTACCATCCAATTGGTATCGAATGGTATAATTCTCATCTCGTTATCAAATCGTGAGATTTAGTGCAAATTGACACACAGGCATTTTTCTCAGGATTATGATTGGCACAGGTGCCTTTCGATGAGATACGATGATTTTTCATGCTTTTGTGACTTATTTTATGTCGCTTCGTTATCAGATGACGATGGAAAATTGCAGCATGATCTCCTACTAAATGGTTGGTACATTGGGGTGTGTTGAAGCTCAGTAGCTGGTAGTTTCTGTTAAGTTTTTAATGTTTATTTATTATTAGATATTCGATATGCTGTGTTCCAAAAATACTATACGATTTTTCTTCTATGTTTCCTACAGACTACGTGTTCAGGAAAACGAAAATGGTCTTTGAAAAGTGTCGGGAAAAAACATTGCTTTTCATCTTGACTGTGATGGGAGTACCTTAGTTTCCCTACTTATTCTCAATACTACTTTTACCTAATTATTTCGAGTAGATTTTTGGATAACTTCTAATAACGACCAAAGATGAAGAACTGCAGGAGAATATCTTATCGAATGATTCAAATGATTAATTACTATAAAAAAAAGAACGACATAATATGACGTTCAACAAAAAATGAGATGGCCTTGAAACTATAGAAATAATATTTATTTTGTCTCATTCGACGATGAAATCTGATTATCCTAGAGAGAAACATTCACTTTAATATGGTTTTTCCTTTTTTTTTTGACTTGCAAATATGCATACTTGCTATAATGTGAATTGGCTATTCCCTAAAAAAAATATATAAATTTTCACTTTGCTGTAGGGTTGTCGAAAAACATCAGAAAAAATACTGTGGGAATCAAAAATGTTCTAAGGAGTTTCAGAGTTTGAACAAGTTTTGGTGTGTCCACTATATATTGGTATAATGTTCTTTGGAAAAATTTCAAATCATCAAATAAGAATTGTCTCTTGATTTTTAATAGCAACCTCATATTTTATTTATTATTATTTTGAAATAATCAGTAGTCTTGCACTAATGTGATTACTCCTGATGAAATGAATAAGACCATTCTCGTTTTCATTATCGATTTTGTAGAAACATTGCATTTTGGAGCGTGGTATAAGTACTGACAAAATATGTTTTAAGGAAAGAATCTTCTGAAAGATACTCATTACAATTGTTGAGATAATTTATTTAGTATTTATTGGTAGTTGTATAATCGAAGTATTTTATGGAATTTCCCGAATTTTGAATTTAGACTGATTATAAAGAAGCAATATTGTAACCATGTCTTGCACTATGAAATTATGTATGATTGTTTCTCATTTTGCTGTTTGAATGTATTATAGAAACAGATTTGTCTCAAATTATATCCAGATACTCTTGGTTGCAATACATGAAAACTTGACTGTACTATTGATCGGGAATCTTACAGTTTTGACAATTGGGATGGGACAAATCATGTAGCATCACAATTTTCCACATGTAAATTGAAATCTGATAGTGAAAACGTACCAGAAATATCCACTGCATTAAAAGGATGTGTATTGAAATTATCTGTCAAAATTATAACTGCCGAATCAAAAAACCTAGAATTATCTCAACTCTTCAATTCCCAAAACGTGAAATTGAAATTTCTCGATCTACTTCGATTCATCATAACTTTAGACTATTGCTCAACCGATATCCCTTTTTTTTCAGTTTCTGAATGTTCGTCTACTGACTACTGACTACCTATGGAATATTATTGCATTCAAAATGAAATTCTACAGGACACTGGATGATAATAAAAGCTGTGCAATTCTTCAAAAACTCAGAAGCGGTATTCTGTCTTTTTGAATTGTCACACCCAATACTGAAATATGGTTATTTTTATAAGATAAAGCATAAGTTGATGCTCTAATATCTATTGGATGTGTGGTCTCGTCATTCTGGTTCAAAGAGGGGTCCAATATCTTGAAATGAGGCATTATTAACATACTCATAATTACTAGGTGGGCCTCAAAAACAATTATATGTCACTTAAATGATTATAATTACAACCAGATTAACGAGAACACACAGCCGCAATATAAATTTCGGAATCAAATTTTGCATTATTTCATAAAAATATCGATATTGAGCATGCCAATTCTGAATATTCTGAAACAGTTTCGAATAAGGTCTGCCTCTCCTGTAGGGATGTGAAAATTATTTCCATAGGTTCGCGTTGAGCGAACATTCAGAAACTGAAAAGAAATTGAAAATTGGTCAAGTTAGGCGAAAATTATGATTAATCGAAACTGATCGAAAAATCTCGATTTTATACACGTTTCGATTCAAGCAAATCAATTTTATAATCTGCTTGATCAGCAACAAATTCTATATTTCGATCGATCCCTGATTATTTCAATACAAATCCCCTCCATAATTTACTTGAGTTAAAATGTATCCAAATAAATATAAACCAAATAAGTTCAAGAGTTTCACTTTCTAAATAT